ATTGTAAATTTGCTCAAATTCGTTAAGCTTTTTTTCAGCTGTTTTGACTGCATCAGCTGCTTTTTTTTGAGCTGATGCATTTGTAAGAATTTCTGGTAAGATATTTACTGAATGAATGGTAGGAAGTGAAGGACTTGGTTGTTTTATAGGCATTGTAGGTACAGAACGCTTGTATCTCATTGATTATATATCATAAAGATTAAGCAGTGTGGTCATATAGTCTCAAATTATATCATCAATTTTTTCAGCACTCTCTTTCTTAACATTATTCCATTCATTTGTGACTTCACAACAAATAACAGCGTAATTAGGAGTATAATTACTTGTTTTTACCATAACACTATATACATAAGCATTTGTAAACTCTTGATACTTATTATTTGGTGAATCATATATTGGTTTTTTATTGAACTTAGGACTAAAAAAAAATGTTTGCCTGCTCATTTTTAATCTTTAGGATAAAGTATTTGCGTGTTTGTGAATACAAAATGTGAAACAGATAGCCAAATACAAAATAAATATTCTGTAACACGTCAAAGACGTGTTAAAAAACTCCTACAGCAAAAGGCATGATCATCATAGTACAACAACAATGTAATTTTACAGAATCTTGGCCATCATATTTTCGATTTGATTTTAACAGAATTTTTGAACATTTTTTATTAAATTTAAATAGCTATTTAATTTAATTTATTAATATTTTACTTTTTACAAGACGTTAATCTTTAAATTTTTAATTTTAACTTTTAATATAGTTAATCAAAAACTAATTTTATTGTATAATTAACCAAAATCTTTGACTCTGATAATAAAATGTCAGGATCATATGACTTGATAGATTTGCACGTGATCAGAATATCTTACCTGGAGGTAGGGGTAGGTGCTTATAATAAAATGATATTATGCAATATCTGTTACTGCCCTAATCTTGGTAAATTAATTTTATTTTAATCTTTTTTCCTGCGAACAATATACTTTAAGATTTGGTATAACTATAAATCTTTCGAAAAATGACTCGATCTGAGCTTTCAGAGTTCCTCGACACCTCCGTCCTGTACTATTGTAAGTTTAAAGCCTTTGATATAAGACAATACCAATATAAAATTCGTGAGTATAGTATTAGACCAAGACATTTCCTTGACGCAGACAATGAGGATGAAATAGAAGCTATACTCGCAGATCGTGAAGGCCATTCCCTACACGAAATTATTGATGGTGATGAGCCACTCTGCCTTATCATAGATTTTGATTTACCAGTAGAAATATTAAATACTATCTTCCCCAAACTTTCGGACAAGCAGGTTAAAAACATACTTTGTAATGCTTTTAAAGAAGTATGTCAGTAATCTATCAGAAGAATCTTGTGATAAATTCGAATTTTCAGAAAAATTTTTATTATCTGGAGTACATCTTACACGAAAAAAATATGAATGTATATTTGTGAAATTGATCACCAGGATCATTTTATTGATAGAAAAAATAGCCATTAAGGCATTGTGTAAAATTCATAAGCTAGTATTTCTATGATAAATTTCACTAAATTACATGATACAACACTAATTATTATATGATGGTGTGGAAACGGTAGGGCTTGGATAGACATTTTGAGGTGGATTTGAAATTGCTTGTTCTAATGCTCGCGTAAGTAAACTTTTATTCACTATTAGGATATTCTATTACAATTATAGAATGTTAGCCGACTAATGATGAAACTAAAACAAAAAAAATAGGAGATAATGTGAAATTATCAAACATACCCTTAAGGTTAATAATAATCGCACAAGAGACTTGACACGTTTTGGTGAATTGGAATCCAAAGGAATATCAGCATGGTCAAGGTAAAAATACCTTAGAATTCCACTTGCATCATTCATCAGAACATTCAAATATATGGTCATATCAGCAACTTGAACACTAACAATTCCAAATTGGTTACTAGTTGGCCTACATGTAATATTTACAAAACTTGCGCCATCTAAGGTTTCTCTTCACAGCTTTACTTTATTATTAGCTTTTTTTGTAGTACTACATATAATACGTGAGCACTTAACATATGTAAGCTCAATTATTTTATCCATATATTAGTCTAATACTATAACATCAGGTTTCTTTCCCATTCGTTCTTTATCTGCCTCAGCATTTTTACGAGCTTTACTTGTTAAACTCTGCCGTTCAGCTGTGCTTAAGCAAATATGTCCACTTGGTAAATCCTCTAATGTAGCTCGAAATAGTGGTACTATTACATCTATGACGTAAGTACCTTCACTTTATTTACTACAAGATTTATTGGTTGTAAATGCTGGGTTGTTCCAAATTT